TATGTAGGTTTCATTGAAATGTGATGATTAGTACCCTGAGATATCAGTGGAAAAGCCGAAAATTGACAAATCATTATGCAAATTTGGTTAATTATATGCATGGATTTTGACCCAAAACTAATCACATCTGTGCATTAGTCTAGAGCATCTATGTACCAAGTTTCATCAAAATCTAATGAATGGCTCTTTAGATATCAGTGGAACAGTCAAGGAACAGCTAAAAATTAGCTAATTATCATGCAAATCAGGTAATTAATATGTATGGATTTGAACCAAAATCTAATCAAATCGGCGCATTAGGCCAGAGCATCTATACACCAAGTTTGATTAAAAACCAACATACAGTTCTTGAGATATCAGTGGAACGGACAGACACACACACACACACACGAGTCAAAACTCAAATAAATTGGTAAGCTGAACAGGAATGAAATATCAGATTAGCTTTATATGAGCTTATATACCGGTAAATAGCAGAGATGTATAATATCCAGAAATGAAGCAAATACAATATTAATTTATTTTATAACTAGACGAAAGATGTGCATATTCAAGTGATTAATTTCACACAGCACTACGACCTGCTACTACTGTAAAATCTGTATTATAAGCCGCATCCCTAATAGAAGATGCACCAATTCTTTTTGAATAATTGAGAATCAAAAATTCATCATTTCTCATATGTGTAGATGTTCTAATAGAAGCCGCATACCCTCTGTTGCATTGTACCATTTTAATAGAAGCCGTAGTTTCAAATACAGATTTTTTACAGTACTATTTTTTAATTGAATAATTTCATAAGCTCAGTTCAATTAGTCAGTTTGCTCTTTAAATTGCTTAATATTATTTATTATAGCACAGGCTATTATTCACCGGATTTCTGCTTTCCTATCCCACTGATTGCAAGTAATATGCAGGACTGAGTTTATGATAAAACTATTAAAAGGATGTGACATAGCAATGCATGTGTGTTAAACACATTATTTAATATATGCATGTGACCTTTCAACTGCAATTCAAGCAAATTTACAGGAAATAAATGAATGCTTTTTACAACCATTCTGAGAAATGCGTTCATTAGAATTTTCCAACAGGTTATTTTTGAGTATTTTAATACGTAGCTAAAGAAAAGAAGAATAGTTATTGAATATGTACACAAAATTTGCAAATCATAATGAAACAGTGAATCATATACAACATGCCATTTGTCAAGCAGTGCCACATATAGTCTAAAACAAAGCAAACAAACAAAATGCTTTGCAAAGTTGCGAGCCATCTTGCTAACCAACTGTCTGATTAATTCTCAGAAACGCTGCAAACCCAACAATATTTCTCCCTTTTCCACCATAACACATACCTGAAATGGTTTTGTTGCCATCAGACCACGACCAGTTTCTGAAGAAAAATTATTCATTATAAATATCCATACGAACACATTATATCAGATAAACAAGAATAAATTGCATACTGTAAAATACTTTATTTTAGCTGGAATTATCAATTAATTTTCGTTTTTGGGTGTTTTGTATGAAATTTAATATCCCTGATTTTCGACGAGTTGAATGTGAAATATTGGAAAAAAGGTATATTCGTTGGATTTTATTTTCACTGAATCTTTCTTTCAGCGAAAATTAATTGCAAGCGAAAATAAAGTATTCCACAGTACCGGTACTATCTATGAAATGACAGAGGATTACTCGTAGACTATCGCATTTTATCAGCCCTGCATATAACAGTTAGATTCACACTCAAATAAATGTGTAACTATATGTTGTAAAGGGAAATGAAAATAACTAGGAACTCAGTAAAGGAACAAACTAAGATAAAGTGCTTAAAACTGTTTCAATTTAACATCATTGTTACAAATGACTCAATGTGCTGTCTGATTGTTTAACCGCAGAGTTACATGCATCACATAGGGCTACAGGCCTACACTGATTACACTGATTTGGGACTTGTATACAAATTAGAGCGAAACACCTCTGAATTACAATAACAAACATTTGCATTGCACTATCACGGCGATGACACAGTGGCATACATACATAGAATCAATTAATTAATTTGTGCAAATAAAACATAGCAACATATACTATGTGAGAAAATGTTAATCGAATATGCAACTTTTCATTTCAGAAAATTATTTGAGATGAGTACGTATCAGTGAACTTGGCTTCATATTGATTCAGGTTAGCGAAAAATTCATATTTTTGGTTATTTAGATATTATTATCATAAATTTATGCCATGTCACATGAGATATCTCAATGTGTTTATTCATTTAGTATTACAAAATAATTATGACTCAGTATTACATAAAAAATTGTAAAAAATGCAGCTCATGCCAATATGTGCTAAATTATTATTTACAACATACAGTCCTTTATGAGATATTGTCAACTTGCTGTATAGTAAACACCAAGCATGCAGTGCGATAAACTCCCAACATGCACTGGGGTAAGAATCTAGTTGATCTTTGCAGAGTGAACAGTCAATATGCAGTACATTGAATGTCACATTCTCCTTGTCATCTCCTGAAATGTGATGTCTGGTATTCTAATAAACCTAAAAATGCTTACCATTATCGATATCATTGAGTTTGTACTTTATTAATATGACTTTATTTATTGTAGTCACACATACCTTTAAAATTTGCTGGTTTCAATAAAGCTCCTTTGAAACCATTACGTGACATCCATCTCACTAATTCTATATAATCATTATCACCATCAGTACATCCTGAATGCAAAAATAATTTATTTCACAATTTCATATTCACACATGGCACCAAATTTGTTTAAAAGTATCGCAATGATAAATCACTAAATTGAAAATTTTTCAGCACAGCAAAGATGTACAGGTTTCACACCATAATTGGAAATCACATCCATGCATATAGCAATGGTATTAAAATCTGATATAGTATATTATACATCTGTCAACATAACGGTATTGTACTGGGTATTTTCATCTTAGCATATTAAGAAACGTGAATTCCAAATGTAGAACGATTATGCGCGTAAGTGTCCTCTAATAATAAAAAACAAACATGACTGCCCCCAGAGTTTGAGCAGACCCCACACAAAGAAGTTTGCGAAATCTATTCTAAATGTTTTGGATTTCGGCATTCCCATGATATATTCCTGGGAGGAAAAGATGTATACTAATAAGGTTATTATGAGGATACT